CTTCCTTCCCAAGGGGCTGCCGGTACCGGCACCGTCCTTCCTGAGGAGCTGCAGGTACCGGCACCACCCTTCCCAAGGGGCTGCCGGAACCTTCCTTCCCAAGGGGCTGCCGGTACCGGCAGTGTCCTTCCCAAGGGGCTGCCAGTACCAGCAGCCACCCCAGCCAGGACATCCCACCAGCCACACGTGGCTCCTACTGCTACGATGTTCTCTGAGCTACCATGGCCACTTTACAGACCCGGGTGGCCGCGTCAGGTCACAAATACTTGCGTTTCCCTAACTCATGAGCACAGAATCATGTCATATGGCATAGTCAGTGCTAGTGCCCAGGCATCTCCAGAGCCTTGGCCTTTTGGGAGCGTTTATGACAATCATATATTCTCCTGACTAGAGATTGTTTGGTGTTTTGGGTTTTTAAACCAGTATTTCTCTGCTGTGAGCAGTATTTTTAACACTACACACGGTGCAGTCTCATTTTTCCCCTCACTGGTGTCACTAACATCCATTTTCCTTATATTCCTGTAATACAGGATATTGTATGGTTACTTCATAGTTTCCTGGATAAAACTTTAGATTTTTTTGTTCTTACGTTTATTCTAAAACCTGGAACCACCACTTTGTTCAATTAGAAATACTTAATTTCACTCTTTGCCTGAGCTACAAGCATATAAAAGCTGCAGCAGTGTGTTAAATCCATTCTGAAATACACACATATTCATTGCCCTGCTCTCAGCCTTCCTTCCTAACGACTGAAAACATTTGCAAGTATCGGAGATATTCTTAAAATAGCCCTGTACATATTTGATCTGGCCATGCCTAGTTGTGGGGAGATCCTTTCACCCTTAAATATCCTGGCAGAGAAAGTGTATCAATCTGGTTTTATGTATTGACTTTACCAATCTCTTGGCAAGTCTAGTTTGCAAGTCTAGTCCTTACAGGGGAAGAAAAAAAAAATGAACTGCAGTTGGGTTTGCTTTTTGGTATTGCTTAGCTGTTTTTGTCACCTTTTGAAGTCACTTAAGTTATCACAGCATTTAGAATTAAGAAGAAGACTCCAGGAAAGCAATTTTTTCCTCCCCTAACAAATTATGTCATTTGGGCCCCAAAATTAAAGTCTTAAAAATTAAACTACAAATCTTCTCTGAAATTATAGTCTCCTTTCTGAATAAAATTTTAGGAATTTAATAGGCCAAAAAAATTCTGTAAGTGCTTGGCTGTAGTAGAGTGTATATATACAGCTATATATGCAAATAAGATGCACAATTGGACAAAACCAGTAACTGAACTATATTCTGAAGACAGGAAGTCCTACTGACCTTGCTGTTACTGAAGTTGAAAGTCACACTGCTGCTGTCTTGATGCCATCTTCCTTTGAAGGCAAGCATCCCTTTAGAAGATAGCCTTACACTGTTGCTTTTCAGCACTCCTGCAAGATAATGGGAGTTTCTGTAATCCAGCCTCAGACCTTCCCTTTACCTCCAACTCTGACTTCCTACCAGACTGAACCCAGGATTCTTTGAGCACTTTTGTCCTTCAGAAAACAGCATATTAAGAATGCTGTGGTTAGGGACACTTACCTAGCCTCAAGTGACTTCTTTTAGGCTCCATTTCCTTGCTGAGCTCACTTGTTCTGAAATTCCATTTGCTACCACCTGGTGCTTCCTGAAAACTCTTGAGCTCATGCTGTACGTGGAAAGACCTTTCTTGCATCTTCTCATTAGAACAGACACTTTGACTTGTCCTCCTCTGCCTGTAGCTTCCTTCCAAAGTATACTATGAGAGATTCCTTTTACTGACATCAAAGCATATTACCTGGGAAGGCAGTTAATAAGGAACATAAATATATATATATATATATATATATCAGTTCAGCTCATCTTAAAGGACCAGCCCACCCTGCAATATGGACAAAGCCAAGTGGATTTTGACTAACTTAAAATTACTGGCATGAGGTGAGGTTGTTCAGTCTGTGTAGCAATGTTAAATTTAGGGTCTCCATGTGGATCACTTTACACGCACTGTTAGGATGCCCAGACAGAAAGGGTCAGGTGAGGAAGAGAGGTGTAACTTCCCTATCAAATAGCAAAGCATGCTGATGAGATAGAGAAACCCGTGCTGGTACCAACTCTACACCTAGATTTTGAGGTCTGGCAATAAGCCCCCTCAAAATCTTGAGGAACACAAATAAACTTTATGCTGTGATCTTCTGTTTTAGGAAGTGGCTGATAAAGAGATTGCGAACTTGCCCCGGGACAGCTGCCCTGTGCGGATCCGCAATAGGTGTGTCCTGACATCCCGCCCGCGGGGAGTGAAGCGGCGTTGGAGGCTCAGCAGAATCGTTTTCCGTCATTTTGCTGACCATGCTCAGATGTCTGGGATACAGAGGGCCATGTGGTAGCTCACCCCATGGAGGATCACCCCATGGATATATACATTCAGGCAGAAAACACAAAACAGGCTCAGTCTGTTTGAGTAATTAAAGGAAGACTGTCCTGTCTAGGAGTCCAGCATCAATATCAAACTAATAAGGGAAGGATGAGAAGCCATGCTGATTAATTAAACTCACTGGATTGTGACTGGTATCAGCTGTCAACCAGCAGCATAACTGCACTAAAGTGGTCTGTATGAGAGGCAGTTTTGTTTTGAGGACAAGAAGTCACTACCTGATGGTTGCAGAACTCAGCTGAGGTTTGTGATACGAGCAACATTAGAAATAAAGACATACAGCACAAGGCTCATTTAAGCATATTTTTTTTTGCCACCGTACAGTAATTTCACCATGGTAATTTGGGGAAAAAGCATAACCGAAACTGCACAACAGGGCAAAGTGGTGTTCTGCCGTGAACGAGGGTGAGCACGAACTGAAAATAAAACAAGGCCTCAAGTTTAGATACTCTTGCTATGCAAACTTAACATATGTATGTTAACAAGCAGACAAAGTGGATGAAAGACCTACTAGAAACTACAACATGCTAGTATTTATCTCCTGCTTGTAGTGCAGCACTTGGTCCAGTGCTTTAAGAACAAGGTAGCAACTAAGTCCTAGTCCAGACCATTAATACCTTAATTCATCAGGTAACATCAAACAAATCTGTCCTTGCAGGAGACATGAGAAGGACACGGGAAGGAAACAACAATAACAAGCCTGCTGCCAAGTTCATGTTTGCCCTGTACTCTTCTTCAAAGCAGGGCAGTGAAGGGGAAATGGCTGCTCTGTCCCCCTCCCTTGCAGGAGGCTGCAACGCACAGGCCAAGTGAAACTGTGCTACCACCAGACAAGGCACACCGGCAGCAAACTGACAGCAACCCATCACCTCATTTAGTCAGATTTTGGTGTACAAGCTATCTCGATAACTTATTCTGTTACCTTAAAACCCTTGAAAGTTGAAAGGAAATAGCAGTTTGTCCCTCTTTTCCTCATATACTGTTAGAGCCAGGGCGACTACACTGTCCAGCATCAGCAGCTCGCTGCCCTCCTGCGACTGATGCCACCTCAAAGACACCCCAAGGAGGTCACAGTTAGCATAGGTGCTAAAGAGCTGCTTGCATTGTCAAAATTAAACTGGTTAAACAGCCAGTAATTAATTTCTGAGAGTTATCATTAAATTTTAATACCACAGGACTAACACCGTATTGTTTCTGCTCATCTAGCAAGTGCTTGAGATAGTGGTTCTACTTTCTTCAGCATTTCTCCCTTTGTGACATGCTTTACACTTCATGTTTCCCACATGTAATCAAAAAACCACACCCCATGTCATGAGCGTGCCATTAACCCCAGCAACCAGACAGGTACAGCCGTCACTCCCAACAGAGAGGCCGTGACCCATCCTAGTTTAGGATTCCTTTTCTTTACATTCTGTTCTCAGTTTCACAACACTCTCCACTCATCTGAGATGATTTTTCAAGGAGGGGTTAAGGATATACCTATGCTCCACTCCTCAGGAAACGGTGAACCACTTGACTGAAGGAAATGCTTTATAAGCTATTTTATTTAAATATTTTCTCCAACCTGAAATGGAAAATGACTGTCTTTGCTTGGAAGAAGGTTGTGTAAACAATGATCTTTGCAGCACAGCGTGTCTCACATGGAAGATCAGTGTTAAGGCGGGCCCTTAAGAGTACTTTCAAATATCCATTGGTATGTCCCCTTTGGATTGCTTTTCTCTGCTTTCAACCCAGGCCTTGTTGATGGTGCGCTTCATTTCATCATCCCCTTCTGCATACATCTTCTTTAGAAGGTTCATGAGCCCTTCACTAGGATCTGAGGTGTCGTAGGCAGCCTTCCTGCAAGACGGATACATGTGAGAAGATCAGCTATATCCAGCAATTCTGGGCAAAAATATTTGTTTGAAACATACTGGTAACAGTGAGGATTTTGTTTTGGCAAAGTCTTTAGACCCGGGGAGAGTCTCAGTCAGCTTCCAAAAGTACAGAGAATCCTAAAGAGTACCCCCTTAAACTAAGGGCAAGTTCAGTAGTACACCTACAGCTGTCCCACTAAGGATGATGGGAAGCATTTTGCAGTAAACATGAACCTGGAAGCACCACCCCAAATTTATTTTAGGAAGCAGGACTCTGGAAGCACCACCCCAAATTTATTTTAGGCAATGGGAGAGGACTATAACAGATATTGAAAGTGCCAATATCTGCCTGTGCTGTTATGTGACAAGTGAATAAAAATAGAAGTGACCACATTCATAACCCAGAAGACATTTTCTGCTTCCTATTTTTCAGGTTATCTCCAGAAGTTAATTGACTCACTATTAACACCTTGCACTTCAAAGCAATTTTCTCAACTTTAGAAGCCAGCTGACAAACAGTGCCACCCACCTGAGAAGCACCTGGGTATGACACGTTACCGGACTATACATAATGCCTTCTCTCTGGAAAAATTGCCTCTCTCTACCCTGTTTTTTAAAATCCTCTTGGCAGTGACTAGTGCAGCTGCAGGCTGGAAGGAAAACTTGCAGCTCAAAATATTTGATCAGCAGAGGGAGCAAGTTCCCCAAGCACGGGGCTAACCAGTCTCACCGACCCCAGCACAAGCTGACTCGTTTGTCATACTATAAATCCTCAATATTCAGAATAAGGTGGCAATAGTAATGTGACAGGCTTGGCAGCATGCAGGACTTCTCTAACAAAATGACCCATTGCATGGCCAGCAGGTCGAGGGAGGTGATTCTGCCCCTCTACTCTGCTCTTGTAAGGCCCCACCTGGAATACTGCGTCCAGTTCTGGAGCCCCCAACACAAGAGAGACCTGGAGCAGCTAGAACAAGTCCAGAGGAGGCCACCAGGATGATCTGAGGGCTGGAGCACCTCTCCTATGAAGACAGGCTGAAAGAGTTGGGGCTGTTCAGCCTGCAGAAGAGAAGGCTCCGGGGAGATCTTATAGCGGCCTCCCAGTACCTGAAGGGGCTACAAGAAAGCTGGGGAGGGACTTTTCATAAGGGCAACTAATGACAAAACAAGGGGAAATGGGTTTAAGCTGAAAGAGGGGAGGTTTAGATGAGATATTAGGAAGCACTTCTTCACTGTGAGGGTGGTCAGACACTGGAACAGGTTGCCCAAGGAAGTTGTGGATGCTCCTCCCTGGAAAGGCTGAAGGCCAGGTTGGATGAGGCTTTGAGCAACCTGGTCTAGTGGAAGGTGTCCCTGCTGATGGCAGGGGGGGTGGAACTGGATGAGCTTTAAGGTCCCTTCCCATCCAAACCATTCTATGATTCTATGACCCTGTCCCTCCAGCAACCTGCCTTAGCAGTCAAGTCACCTTCTCTTAATCTCCAGTGATGCCATTTGAGAGGGGAAGGTACTTTTGCTCTAAATTCTGGTATGGTTAGTTAGGACTCATCAGTTTTAGCAAAACATTCAATAAACACACACAAAATGAATAGTTGTTGGCAGGCATAACTGTCTGTAAAGTGAGTGTTTCCATGCTTCGAGGTGGGTATACACATTCTCTTCTAGGTAAGAACGCGTGTGTGTGTATTGTAAAAGATTATAAAATTATTATATACTACATATACATATATATATACACACACACACATATATATACAAGTCTCTTGTCCCAGGTGTTTCCTGCTTTAATTTACCACCTTTATATATCCAGAGCTTAAGCTACTTGTAGGATTGCTCCCACTGGAAGTGATACAAATTAACTTGAGACTTTGTGTAACGATCCAGGTAAACAAATACTCGTTTTGCCAAAAGGATGCTGGGATTATTGTGCAGGCACTTCACACACAAGTGACAAAATAATTGCTATTTTGACCAGCATAGCTGCAAGGAATATATATGTATTTCTATATAATATATGATTAACCTAAAAAAAAAAAAAAAAAATTCAATCTCACTAGAGTAGTTTTTTTAATGAATGCAGCCATCAAAATATCTATGAATCCTTAATTGGTTGATTACCTTTAGCACTCTCACTGCAAGTCTTACCTATCGTATTTCCTGTGATGCAGCCTTCATCAGTAGCAATAAACAGTAGAAGAGTAGCAAGCAGCTACTCCAAGTAGATCTCCCTCCACTGCCAGTCCTACTAGCACCAAAAAAATCCCAACCTAATGATTTTCAAACACATTAAGGGCCTGTCCCCCAGAAAAGCAGTTCTCACAGTCTGAGTGCACAGTCAGTGCAGCATAGACCTGCTCTCCTGGCAGTCCTAAAGCAACGTGGGAGAACAAGATGGAGGGTTGAAGAGACACTTACTCTTTCTCTTTGCTTTCTTTTTCCACTTGAGTGAGACATTCCCATTTTTCCTCCCGCTTCTTCCTACACATCACAAGGACCGTGTCTGTCTTTATCTGCAGGGAGAACAGCAAGGCATGAATTTAGAATACTTCATAAAGGGATGCTTGTCACCACCACAGTGAGTAAGGTTAGCTGGTAACATAAACCTCTTTCAATACTCAAGTTTCCTGAAACATTTATCTCAGCTATTGATTACTATGTAGCGTATAGAAATCACAGTACTACTGAGCTTTGAAGTACAAAGTGTTAACCTCATGGTGGACAATTTAAATGGTATGATTAACATAATACTAGTACAGAACTATGGTACCCATACAGAACCGACACAGCGCTGCAGAAACACCATTCAGTGATTTCAGGATGCTACAAGCACCCAGGACTGTCGGGTAAAGGGTGGCTCTATTTGCTAGACTTCTCCAAGAATACCAAGTTCAAGTAGAAGCTCTCAAAATTTATTTCTCTATGGATAAGAAACTAGTTTTAGGGCATTGCTTAATCTCGCAGTATGCTTGCAAGTTATAAGCAAAGCCTGTTTTTAATTGCAACCCTGACCTAAATTTTGCAAAGAACTCCTGTGTGCCACAGCGGGACCAGAGTCTGCTGGAGCTTTAGCTCAACTTAGCAAGTACGTGACCACTGCTCGCTTTTACACCACGTTAAAAATCACCAGCACATCACCCTCATTTATTTCAGTTGTTTTAATTTTACACTGTCCTAGTTTTAGGGCAATTTCAAGTGGAACCATAATTTCTTCACATCTGATGTCACTAAGTGCAGCGCACAAGAGTACAGAACACACACAAGGTGTCCAAGACATCCCTAAGCCCAGAAAGGTGCTATGAGTAGCACAGCAAGGACACGTGATGTCACCAGTCGCAGTCATCAGCAGTAAAATGTTACTGGTGTTCAATTCTGGAGCAACACACCCTTATGAAGGCAGAGCAGGTTTCAGATTTTGCTCTGAGTATTATGCTGATTAAGCTTCCCAAGACTTTGGTCTGCTGACAATTCTCTTAGACCTTAAAATTGCAAAGAATTTCTCAGAAATCCTTAAAAGCACAAAGATGCAAATGGATGCTTAGTGGAATTTGCTACTTATTTATTTCTGAAATCCTGGTGGAGAGCTATTAAAAAAAGCACACAATATCCAGACACGATCTTTTGGAATAGAAGCCCACAGATCCCAGAGGATAATTCCACAGTTATGACAATTAAAGATTAGTAAGAATCGTGTTCACAGTGAAGAGACTTTACAGACAGAAGGGAGGGACCAAAGGCCAGAACTGAGTCTCTTGAATTAGAATAAGGCCGTGAACATGGTGCTTTGTGAGGGACCTAAATATCTCTAACAGCCAAGGTGCACTGACCTTTCTAGAGCTGCCTTCCACAGAGATGGGTTTCAGGAGGTTGTTGAAGGTCATGGTGTAGTTCTTCCCATTCAGATTCTTCACTAGCAGATCAAATGACCTGGAACCAGAAATTGGGGGAAGGACAACACAAATTTTGCAATCATCAGAAGACTATTTTGCCTTGCCACCAAAAACAATGTCTGAAAGCCCTGTAGCAGGCACGTTTCTTGGGAAAGCATGTCAGCAGGCTTGAATTTCTTTCTTCCCAGGGCTCTCAAATCTTCAGCTGGATTTAACACTGAGGACCTGTCCAGACTTCACAACGAATTAAGATCTTGAGGGTTCTTTCTACCTCACTGATCTCCTACAGACTTGGAAAGGCAGATTTACATAAAGTACACACAGTTCTATCACCATCAAAAAACAGGGCTAACACTACACACCCTGTCAAGCGTGATGAGGTGCAACAGGCATTTGTCAAATGAAAATACCCTGATGCCCTCTAAGGAGAACTAGACTTATGTGTTAAGTGCTACTAAAAGCTAATAGTGCTCAAGTTTAAAAAAGAAAAAAAAGAAAAAAGGGAGTTGGGGATAAGGGCTGATCCAGAACAGAACTCAGCAGAACACATTCCTGCATTTCAAATCGTGTTCTTCACCCATGCTCTCTCCCCTGTGGCGCGATGCGACGAGATGAACTCACCTTTCTGTGAAATTCACCTGCACGTCCTCAGCTGGAAGCTTCTGGACTCCATTTAAAGAGATGTAAATCTTAATAAACTTATCTGACTGATCCCAACCTGCAAGTGAAATAAAGAGATTAAGTTCTAGCTTTCTTCCATGAACTTCCTATGTTCCATTACAACTTCCCCCACAATGTCCCCTAGTAACGACTGGGATCTCCGCTTTATTGAAATAGTCTTCAGAGACAGAGATAAGGGAAAGACATTAATTATTCAGGAATAACTTGAGAGCAAAAGCAAGTTTTTCATATTTTGCCCCGTTCTCTAGTTCCTGCAAATTCTGAGAAAACCCACATATCAGCTCTGGTAAAAAGGTAACAACTGTGTCTGTGCAGGGGGAGTCAGAGGTAGCTGTCTGCTTTGCTGCAGCTTCCCTGACCCACTTTTTCCCCTGCTCCCCACATGACAAGTATCTTGAGCAATCCCCTCTCCTTTCACCTACATGGTGGGCAGAGAAGCCAAAGCTCACTCCTTCATTCCTAAGCTACGCTAAGCACTAGGCAATGGAAAAATACCAGTTGGTACACTGGGGATCATTAACACATCCCACCAGAACTATCACACAAACACAATTAACACACACTGTGGTTGGGACAGCACAGTGAGCACGTAGTAGCTTTTCACGTAGCATCTGCAGTGTGAAATAAACACTTAAGAAGGGTTCTCTACACCACTAAATGGCAACTATAACTCACACTAATGCCACCCTGCCTTCTCCTCAGAGAGATGCCTGAGCAATACTAAGTGTTCAGAACAGTAATCCTACCATAATTGTTTATTTTCACTGTGTACCCTCCCAGCGATGACTTTTCTTCCTCTGCAGCATCTTTTGGCTTCGGTGGAGGCTGATTCTTGATTTCTAGCTCTAGCTTGTGCTTCTCTGTCATCAGGACATCACGAAGTCGTTTCCTTGTAGCTTTCGTAAGCAATTCTTTAACCTCTTCCAAATCTTTCTGCAACTGGTTTAAAAAGAAAAGATCACGTGCATACATATTAGATACAGTTCTTTTTACTCAAGGTTTGCACCTGAGCTCTTCAGCTATGGCACTTCCACATTTCCCAGGTGTAGCAGTTTCAGATTTATCAAGGCAGTGGTTTTCTTTCCCTCTACAGCCTGTTAAGCATGAAGCCATCTGCTCCTCACTCCCTGACCACTACTATTTTCACTTCCCGACCAGTATACATTATCACAGAACCGTTTGGGTGGGAAGGGACCTTTCAAGGCCATCCAGTCCAACCCCCTGCAGTGAGCAGGGACATAGAATCATAAAATTGTTAGGATTGGAAGGGACCTTAAAGATCATCCAGTTCCAACCCCCTGCCATCAGCAGGGACACCTTCCACTAGACCAGGTTGCTCAAAGCCTCATCCAGCCTGGCCTTCAACACTTCCAGGGAGGAGCATCCACAACTTCCTTGGGCAACCTGTTCCAGTGTCTGACCACCCTCACAGTGAAGAACTTCTTCCTAATATCTCATCTAAACCTCCCCTCTTTCAGCTTAAACCCATTTCCCCTTGTTCTGTCATTAACTGCCCTTTTGAAAATGAAAAGTCCTTCCCCACCTTTCTTGTAGCCCCTTCAGGTACTGGGAGGCCACTATAAGATCTCCCCAGAGCCTTCTTCAACCAGATCAGGTTGCTCAGAGCCCCATCCAACCTGACCTTGAATGTTTCCAGGGATGGAGCTTCTACCAACCACCTCTCTGGGCAACCTGGGCCAGGGTTTCACCACCCTCAGCGTGAACAATTTCTTCCTTACATCCAGTCTGAATCTCCCCCCTTGTAGTTTAAAACCATTTCCCCCGTCCCATCGCTACAGGCCCTACTGAAAAGCCTGTCCCCATCTTTCCCATAAGCCCCCTTCTATTTCAAGGTTTAAGCTTTCATCAATTAAAATCCAAGGGACACGGGTAGGAGCCGGACACCGGGGCGAGCCCCTCAGGAGGCC